GTCTTTTATTTTGTCTGCTTTGCTAGCGCAGGGTATTTTATCTGAGAATCTACAGGGTACACTGTACTGTAAAGAACTCACTTGAGTTTTTTTACATTACCTCTTTTCATCCATTTTTATCTTTTTAACATTAAGAATTGGTATTTGACAGATACTGTAAGACAGGCCTCTGTGATCTAATCAGACAATATCATTCTTTTTAAAGGGGTAGTTCATCCAAAAATTAATATTCTGTCATTAATTACTCACCCTAATTTCTTTCCAAACCCACAAAACCTTCGTTCAAGGGAACTACCACGTTCAAGGCACAGAAACGTAGTAAAAAAAAAAAAAAGTTGCGTTTGAACCGCTGATGCCACATGGACTATTTTAACAATGTTTTTACTACGTTTCTGGGCCTTGAACGTGGTAGTTCCCTTGCGGTCTGCAGGGTCAGAAAGCTCTCAGATTTCATCAAAAATATCTTAATTTGTGTTCTGAAGATGAATGAAGGTCTTATGTGAGTAATTAATGACAGAATTTACATTTTTTGTGGAACTATCCCTTTAAGCATTGGTATCTTTTACCAAATGTAGTAAACACAATATTTGCTTGGAGTATTTGAGTTTATATTCCCTTCACTGAATATTAATCACTCTGAGTTAATCTGATTACAAATTAAGATTTAAACTTTTGAAATTTAGACGCAGTCTTATATCAGCCATATTTCTGGCGCCCTCTAGTGTTTTGGATGATATTTCTTATTTGACCTAATGTTGGTTATTCTCTGCCATCTTTTGATGCCATCTAGTGATATCTATGCTAATTTTATCAAACATAAATATTGCTTAGGTCTTATTTTAGTCATATTTTTCAGCAGACTGCACGTCATAATTTTTTTAATAAAGTTTTTTTATATATTGTTGCTCAGTGATTTCTTGCAAAGGCATTTGTACATAAGTACCATTTAGCAGAGTGAATGCACTGTACTGTACTTATGCCTTGCTGCATGGAACCAAGCTTGTATGACAAATTAAGATATTCACAGGGAACTAGGTCTCAGAGGAAATTACATTTATGATGCTTCCCCTCCCCCCCCCACCACAACTTCTTGTCACCACATAGATTTTTGGCTGTTTCCTGTGGGCTTCTCTGTGACGGGGTTTTGTGGGACTTGGAGTACATATGTAACCGTGTGGCTCCGAAGCATTGCTCAGGAATATGGATGTGTTATGATTCAACAGTGTCACCCCTAGTGTTCATTGTTAAAAGCCAGTTGATCACTAAATGAATCACTTTTACACTCTAAATTGACAAACAGTCAGCAGTTGGGGTTTGAGCAGGAAGGGGGTGCTGTAAATCTAAATGAACACTTCCATCCCAGGTTTTATATGAACATGTCAGCGTGAAACTGTGACTTGTGAATTGTCAAATTGTGGCCATAAGCTGTGACCTCTCCAGTGGTTAATGTATTTGTGTACAAACATCATTAATGCCATCATGTTGTTTCTTTTAATGAATGAAATGCCTCTGTGTTTTAATATTATTGCTTTTTGCTTTTATAGTGTAACATGGTAAAGTTATTCTGATGTGTCTGTATTTGTTAAAGGGGTCATGAACTGCATTTGTTTTATTATTTTATAATGTTCTCTAATAATTATAATCGGCCATTCTGTCTACACTGGATGTGGCACGGACTGACACAACAGATCTCCGACAGTAAACTGATGTCCCGCTATATTTCTGACATACAAGCATTTGCGTCGCTTCTGACCTGAAAAAGAAATTGATTCGTGACATGACGCAACAGCGCTCGCGCCCGATCTAGATACGTTAGAATCGCAAGGAAGGCGACTTTTTTCACAACTTACACAACACAGTGTCTTGTAATTTTGTAATGTCATCAGTATGGTTCTGTTGATGGAGTAATCCTGTGTTTGCGTCTCTCTAGTAGGCTATTTTCTCTCCTTTTACTACAAGCGTGTATCAGTGGGCGTGGCTAAAGAGGCCGTGATGTCAAAGCAGGCGTTGATCTTCTCCTGTGGAGGCGGTGCTTAGCCACACTATTACATCATAAAGTGGCACATTCCACAACGAGTCGTTTTCTGAGCTTGGTTTCAATAAAAACTGTTTTTAAACTAAGAAGAAATCTTTGAGTTTTGAAACTTACAGGATGTTTTTATAGTATAGTGACCTGTTAAAGTATCAAAAGACCAAGGGAAATTAGATTTCTCAGTTCATGATCCCTTTATTAAATGCCATAAGGAAGTGGTCTGTAGACAGTTTTGCCTTTAGTTTTAGGACCATGATAGTGGCTTGTCGTGTTTGTTGTGTCTGCCTTCTAGTGCAATGGCCTTTTGTTTGTATGTTTGAGGAGATTAGACTTGCTAAGCCATTGAAAATCATCCAAATATTTTCAACAACTTGAACGTCACAAAAGTCCCTGTGTATGCATATATTAAGATGACTGTGAAATTAAGATGCATTGCGAGGTTTAGATGAATTAATGAAAGCTCTTGGCATGAACGTAAATAATATTTTCATATTAAGCCTTATCATTTTTGTTGCATTTTTGCTTCAGATCCTTTATACGAACACTTTCTTTTCAGCTTCCTATGAGTTTTCCCCCCAAATCATCAGCTTTTTAAAATTTCATAATCAACATTCTCACTTTCTCAAAATGTTGCACCTGTAAATGATTTGGTTTTATTTACAATGCTTTTTCTTTTCTGACCAAATGTGATTTTAATTATGGAACAAACTTTCCACAGACACAAATCACTGTGTTTACGTCAGTTGTTAGTTGTGTTTGCACACAGTGTAACAAGGTACAAATGACACAGTATCCTGCAAACACTTACTGTCTTTTATAAACTACAGAACAAACAAGTAAAAGGTACGCTCTTCTTTGCTCTTTTTTGATGGATTTGTAGTTCTTGAAATGTGTGAGTGTGTCTTTGTAAATGTATGGATATTTAAGGTTCCAAAAGATTATTTTTAAATGCTGTTGTCACTGTCCGCATACTTTGAGTGAAAGAAGATAAATGTACGCAAAGTGTACTATTCTATATCTAAAACTTGATCAGTGGAACAAGGTGGCCTTAAAGCAGAAGGAGGTATTGGCTCTTTACTTGTCTTTTCTGTCCCCCATCAGGTTTATTTCTGTCTTAAGTACTTTTATCAGCCCTCCAATTCAACTGCTACAACAATTTATAATAAAATGTGATTTTGCTTTCTTTCACTTTCCACAGTGTTGTCTCGTTTTTTCTCTCCTTTTATTTCTCGTTTTTGTACTCACTTGGAAAGAAAAATAATAAATGATATGCTGGTGTTGATCAAACCCTTAGTTTGGATGTTTTCTTATAGTGAAGAAATAAAATGAGGAATGAAATAAATGTTAACGCAAATAAAATATAAAAAGTAAACTCTTTATTTAAGCTAGTTGCCAAGGTAACATTTCTTATTTTAATGTTTAATAATTTATGTACTAAAATAACATAAAAATTGACATATTTAGAAAAAAACAAACAAACACGGACAACAAAAACTTAAAGGGGTCATATGATGCTGCTAAAAAGAACATTATTTTGTGTATTTGGTGTAATGAAATGTGTTTATGCGGTTTAAAGTTAAAAAACACATTATTTTCCACATACTGTACATTATTGTTTCTCCTATATGCCCCGCCTTTCTGAAACGCGTCGATTTTTACAAAGCTCATCAGTCTGAAAAAGCGAGGTGTGCTGTGATTGGCCAGCTTTCCAGAGCGTTGTCGCCGAATATCTCAAGCGTGTGACGGAAATGTTACGCCCCTCACCATATTGTGATGCCGTATCCGGCCGGAGTGACGAGACAAAAACATTCAAACCCATTACAAATGAGGCATTTGTTGCATCCAGTGGGGACATAATTACTGATTATAATGACTTATACTGTCTTTTTATGCGCTGAGGCCGGGATAGAATGAGCTGAGGCGGCGGGGTCAAGAATGGCGCGCCCGGCGGATCCGACGAATGAGCTGCAACCACATGTGACCACCCCGGGCTGGACTCTGCTTCGTCCACGGTGAAAGTTGATGTATTCCCTCAGCGACCAGCACAGATCAGCTCTAGGCATGACGAAGCGGATATCGTCCTCTTTTGGAAGACCAAACAAAGTAGTTTCGCTTTCACAACGAAGCGCAGCGTCTCCACGACATGGCTGCAGCGTCAACAATACTACAGCGAGAATAAAAGTTACGCCTTCTTTCTTTGCGCGAACATTTGGGCGGCATTATGCAAATCTTCCCACATAGTGACGTAGATATGTGGGGGCGTGTTAGAATGAGCAGTTTTAGGTAGGCGTGGTTGACTCTGAACTTTTATAAAGAATATCTCTTTGGATTTGAGACTTTAGTCTTTGCAAATTTACAGATCTTCTTTATGCACCAAGAGCTTGTAACACTCCAAAGAAAGAGGAAAAATTGAAATCGCATCATATGACCCCTTTAAGATTTTTACGGAAAACATAATTCTCAATGGTAATTCTTAAAGTGATAATTTCCACACACACACACAAAAAAGGACTAAAATATGTTTGTTTTTTTAAATATCAAGAAAGTCCAGCAAATAACATGTATAACAGACAGCAGAGAGAAATGAATAAGGAGAATTTAGTTTGTCTCACGATTGTCAGCATTTTCATTTGTAATGTATATTTAAAAGTAACGTGAATGTTGTAAATAAATGCTGGTCCCCGATACAAGCCCAAAAACAAATCACACTAACAAATATGTGGCGTGAAGAGTTATGGTGTGCCTACGTTAAATACATCACGTAACATGGTTCCGTATTTAGATAAATAACGTGATTCACGTGATTTATCTAAACGTGATTTATCTAAATACGGAACCACTGGCGATCTCACCTTTGCTAGCTCACTTCTGACTCCAACGCCATAACCGTGTGCGCGGCACGTCGCCAAGCATGAGCTAAAGAGAGGAACAGCGCGCCCCCGAGCGTACGCAGAGTCAGTCCGTGTGATGCCGCAGTTGTCATCTCGAACACGTTCCGGAAATTACACTGTTTTTCACCGATGACGATGGAAAAATGCGATTTTACCCGTGCACGAGCATATTAACCTGAAGAACTTTCGGCTGGCTTTGAAGGAAAAGCGAGCTCATGGGTTCCGGTGACGAACTGCTTTCTCGCTGTCAGGAAACTAGCTAAAGATTCATTCTGGCTTCTGCTGTTTACCATCATCAACATCACGAGAACGCTTGGACTAATGTCGCCTAAAGATCCCATCTCCTGCTTAATATCACCACATTCGCTTGTACGGCCATCTGGGAGCGTATTTTTCGCACTTTCTCTTGAGTTTTGACTGAGTTTAACCGTCATCAGCGGAAAGGGGAATTTGTTCTCGAAGTTCAAGTAACGTTAGCCGCCGCTGACTGTAACGCGCACGCTCTTTTGTCCAGATCTTCGACAGTGCGATTCCTGTGCAGTTGTCCTCATGCGTTTTTCGCTTTTACTTCGGTAAAGTGGATACATGAAGGCTGCTTTCACAGTCCCATGCCTTCATTCAAAATCATTTGTCGCATAATAATGCGGAGATTGTCCAAGCATCGAGCTGAGGGCTCATTTTCTTCTTTATTTGGCTTTACAAAGTTGTTACGCACAGGATTCATTAACACATACGGAATGTTACCGATTCGCCTTTCAATAGAAAAGTGAAAACTGTCCGTTCGTGCAGTGAGCTGGCCAGACACATCGACGGAGTGGGAAAATACGCAGGAAAAGAAGCCATCAAATTTACGGAAATCCCTTCTTTTCCTCCGGTCGGCTATTACAAATGCATTCTATGTGAGCAACTCGCTTATATCTGCACGATTTGGGTTATTTTAATACATTCTTACCCTTTGGACGTTATTATTCAGATTTATTTTGAACTCCATGCAGTAGTTACTATGTCTACACAAAGCTATACAGATATGTCGCGTGACGAAACGTCAATATTTCCTTCCTAGTCACTAGATCGCTGCTTTCTCTCAGCATAAACTGGAAATTACGTATGTTTGTGTGTTTAAGAGGTCTCTTCTCTTAACTGGTCTGAGGAATAAGTTTGATGGATGATATGGGAGACCCTCAGGGGTCCGCGCGCCTGAAAGCGCGTTAGCAATGGCAGCGGCCTGGATATCTGTGGACAGTCATATTGCATTAACTGTAACTGTAACGTTTGTCTTCACAATATACATCGACTTTCCGAAGACAGGACGGAAAGTGACTCTGTGAAGAGCCCTCTTTCACCTGCGTGCAGTTCAGGTAAGTATTTAACTTAGGGTTCACTATGTAATTACATAAACGTGCTTGAATATTTGCAAAGTTTCAAGATATGTTAAGCTTAGCAACAGGTTTTGATATTGTGTTTTGGGTGTGTGACAGTCTTGACTAATGAAACTGACACCCCCTCTTGTCATTCATAAAGTGTGCACTAAATCTGCACACAAATATCTGGTATCTGTATGGCATATGTGTATATACGTGTATAATAGCAGGTGTAAACTTCATAGCAGTTAGATGATTCACTAGAACGGGAAATTATTGAACAACAACCATTATTTGCCATGGACCTAAATGAAGGTCTTCATGCTCATATGTCAAGACATATGTCACCTTTATTTCTACAGAGCTTTATACAGGACAGATTGTTTCAAAGGAGCTTCACAGTAATAAACCGGAAGATAGCGGAGTCAATTATGGAAACGTGCCTATGGAGATAATTCAGATTTTGCTGTAAAGCAGCTCTTTAAGACAATAGTTTCATTATTTAGCTCAAGTTAGGTCAGTGTTGGTTCAGTTCAGTCCAATAACAATGTAAAGTTAATCTATATCGAAACAAGTAGCTACAATTAATCTAAAAACGGTTCTACATAAGCTAGCAATGTTGTTATTCAGCTTGAGTTGTTTTATGATGATTCAATTCGATTCAGCTATAAAGCATGTGTGTACAACTTATTTGTATTGTATTATACATTAACATTCAAAAGTTTATTGTCAGTAACATTTTTTGTGTTTTTAAAGAAGTCTCTAATGCTCACCAAATCTGTATTTATTTGATCAAAAATACAGTAAAAGCAGTAATATTATGAAATATTATTGCATTTTCAAATGTAGCTGTTTTTTTTGTGTTAATTTAACATATTTTCAAATATAGTTTATTCCTGTGATGGCAAAGCTCAATTTTTTAGCAGCATAAATAGAACATTCAAAATTATTTAAAATAGAAATCGTTTTGTAACATTATAGATGTCTTTACAGTCACTCCTGATCAATTTAATGCATAAAAGTATTAATTTCTTCAAAATGAATAAAATCTTACTGACTCTAAACTTCTTAGTGGTGTGTGTATATTAGTATTGTCATGGCTAGTGTCACGAATCCGGTCCGTGGCCTTCCGGCCGATTGCCACCAGAGGTCGCTCTCCCATTACATTGACTCTCACACCACAAAGACTGTTACACATCACCCTGGACTGCATTTCCCATCAACCATTGCACTGATTACACACACACAGCTGAATGCACTGATCACACACACACAGCTGAATCCAATCAGACATGCTACATAAGCCATGGGCTGTGTCTGAAATCGCCGAAATTCACTATTCCCTACATTAGGTCACTAATTCAGTTCACTAGAGGGAGTGAATGAAAACGAGTAGTGAATTCGGACACTGAGTGCACCGGAAGGAATGCCGCTTTTGCATAGTTTGTGCTTGCTGTTTATTAATCATTTGAAACTAGCAAACTAGCAGCTCCAGTAGTAAGATTAAAGGATTTATCTTGAACTGTGGAAATTATGTATAAACCCTAATCAAACAATTTAATAATCAATTTACAATGAATTTATACCCGTGTTGTACATTATGCTGTATGCCATGGATGAGCCCTTTGTAAAAATGAACGGATTGATTATTCAGCTGCGGGCGCCATCTTCTGGCGAGATGCGGGAATTCATTTGGCGCGTGACTCACGGTGCATTATGGGCATTCTCTAGGCGTTGAGCATGCACCAGTTGTACACTCGTTTTTGCAGTGCATTGTGGGATTGAATGAGTGCACTTGAGAACGTCCACTATGGTTTTGGACACCACTAAAAATGGCTGTTCCCTCAAATAGTGCCCTATTTAAGGGTATAGGGGGCGATTTCGGACACAGCCATGGACTTCCTCTCTCTCACTGCCGAGTATTGTTCTGCGTTTAGCACTCCCCAAGTGTTAGCTGCTTTACCAAGCCATTCCATGTATCTGTTTAGTCTTTAGTTTTGTTTAGCGTTTCTCTCCTCTAGCGATAGCTACATTACTGAGCCATTCCTTTTTCCCATTTTTAGTTTTAGTTTTAGTCTAGTCTTTCCGTGTTGTCTGTTTCCTACCTTCTGCCTGTGTTTATTGGATTACCCCTCTTCTCAAGCACTCTGGATACTGTTCGCCGATCGTAGACCCACGCTAGCCCAAGGAATATTCTTTGTCTTGCCTGTGCCATACCTGTTTGCTGTTGTTCGACCCTGCCTGTGTTTTTTGACCACGTCTCTTGTGAATAAAAGGTTGCACATGGATCCGCACGCCTCTCGTCTCGTCAGCCCCGTTACAGCTAGTCTACATTCTAGATATTAGTGCCTGCCATGGAAAAAGCAATATTGATTGACCACTAGTGATTTGCATAACACATATTTCCAATGCCATGTACCTCCCGGAAGCTGGTTGGAAATCACTGTTATAGAAGAATAAACCATATTTGCACACACATCTGTTAACATTTCTGTAATGTAACAACTTTCGTAGGTCGGGAAGAAGGAGGCAGGAACCGGCGAACGTTTAAATACTTTAATAATAAAACGAACACAAAACGAAAGTAAAGCGGCAGCCCCTCGTGGAAGACTGCCGCACACAAAACACAAAATAAAGCCCAGGCCTGGTCCTCTCTCGTCTTTCACTGTCGTCACTCCTCCTTTTATACTTCCGGAGCTCCTCTGTGGGACTCGAGACCGGTGAGTGGTGCAGGTGTCGCTCATTATCAATTAATCCACCGGCCTCGCTCCGTTCCCATGGCTCTTGGCTCCGCCCCCACTCGTCACAAACCCCCATCGCCCCTCGCAGGCCGGGGGGGTACTCCCGAGACTGCGCTCTACTCCCCCCTTCCCCCTCCGGGGGGTAACTAAGGGTAAGGACAGACAAACGAGGCGAGAGAAAAGGAGACGGAAGGATGAGTAGAGACCGATACGAGAGAGGAAAAGAAAAAAAATAAAATTATCTGTCCAGTTCCCGGACACACTGCCGTTTGGTCCTCAACCGGCTGAGAGGCTCTCACTCGCGGTGCCATTCGATGGTACTGGACATCGTTGGTGGATGGCCCACCACTTCTCCGCCTCCTGGCGGACGGCGATGGCTCCTCCTATTGAAGGCAGCCGGCAGCAAGTCCCCCGTTCCCTGCTCCTCCCCAATCATGGTGGATGGCAGCAGGTTCCGGCCTCCTGGCGAACGGGGCCGACTCCTCCGCTCCCTCTTGGATGGCAGCCACCCCTCCTTGACCCAGGAGCGCGGCAGCGAGCTCTCCGTCCCACCTCGTCTTCCATCGTTCCAGCACCACCGCCTCGGGCAGCCACCGGCAGTCTCTCCGCTTGTTCCTGCTGCCTGATCTCCTCAGCACCGCGATCCCCCTCAGCAGCGAGGGCTCTCTTACAGCGTGTCCCTCCTCGTCACTTATAGGAACACTGGTCTACATTTTATGATTTCCCAACCTTAGAGAACACTTCAGAATTAGAAATTGATTAATAAAAACACTATCAAGATATCACTATCTTGATTTAACTATCAAGTCAGTCAGTTTAGGAAGTGCCTCATGAAGAAAGGACTCTGATACCAAAGTAGCTTTGTTTAGAATAGATACAAGAAGTGGTATGGTACAGAACTGAGAGTCAGTCTGCTTTTTGTGCTTTTTCTGTGTTGAGAAAATCCTTTACACCTCTTAAGTGTGTCAATATGTTTTGTGTCAATATGATCTGTTTATGTATGATGTAACAAGGGCTTATTACCAGTTCATGACCTAGTGATAAAATATTTTTTTCCACCATCTAGAACAATTTGTCATGTCTATCCCAAACTGACAAGAACAGTTTTAGTCCAGTCTCTCTAGAGCGTTGGGAACCCTAGGGGGGATTTGTGCTGTAAGCCTATGAATCTTTTGTACGGTAAGCCCCTCCATGAGCAAAAGCCAACAGCCTCAGTGCCAGAACCACGGCTGGGAAAACCAGCCACAGACTAAACAGCTGAAAATCAGGCAAGAGGTGGTTGGGGGCAGGAACGGTCAGGGAAATTTGTTGCGATTCTGGCAAGTACTGAAAAGGGATACAAGCAAAACAAAGCGGGTCAGGCTGACAGGGCCCATGGACTGCCTTCTTTCCTCTCCAGATTCCACACATACTTACCACAAGGTAATTAAGAACAGGAGAAACAGAAAATGAGACCAAGAAGGGGCCAGAGATTCAATAAAGCCTGGATGAAAAGGGGAGTTTTATTAACCTTTGTGCAAGAGTTCTAAATAATTGTTTGCTCCATGACCTGTTTTAAGGTTTAATATTTTTTTGACACCTTGCACCAATACCCCAACTGTTATATCCAACTTTTATAATACTGTTTCAAACACTGCATCAAACTAATAAGTGCCGGCATACAGTACCGGCAATATTGGGGTGCTCTGTCAGTTGCTGTGTATGCATCCAAGTTGCGAAAAAGCACAATACAGCAAAAACGATTAGCAAACACAGCAACGTTTCCACCTGATAGCCTAATCTCAAATCACATGCTCTTTTGATTAGGTACTTATTTTGAATGAGTAAATACTTTGTGACTACTAAAAAAGTATGCGTTAGTTGTATCACTTCAGTGTCATTCACAAATCCTCTCCTGTGGCCCTATGGAATAGTAAAGGGTCCATCATATGCACACTTAAGAATCTCTCTGGAAGTTGTAGGTCATCCAGGTACTTTTTGCCTACTCTTTTATGAGTACTGTGAATTCGGCCATACTTATCATACAGTTTTTCACAGCTATATAGTAGGAAGGTATGTGATTTTGGACACAGCCAAAACAAAATGGTCTTTCCTGGAGAAATTGGTATGCGATTTTGGACACAGCCAAAACAAAATGGTCTTTCCTGGAGAAATTGGTATGCGATTTTGGACACAGCCAAAACAAAATGGTCTTTCCTGGAGAAATTGGTATGCGATTTTGGACACAACCAAAACAAAATGGTCTTTCCTGGAGAAATTGGTGTAAAATAGGAATGGAAATTGAAGTTGTAGCCACTTGGGAAACCACTTAGATTCTTTTATTTGGGAAATGTGTTTCCATCATAGCTTATGCACATCTTATGGAATAAGCGAGTTTATGATTTTTTTGTGAGCATTTTGGAAATGTATTTTGCATCTTGGTGTTCCTGCCCTGCATTTTATATTTGCTATCCCAAAATTTGCTTTAAAGTACATGGAAACCCAGCTAGTGCCTTTTCTGCATATTCAGCCTTTGCAACAGTTCAATGTGTTACAAAAACTTGTATATTAAAATTAATACATTTGTTATAATAACATAGTGAGATTATAATAAATTAAAAGCAAGTTAGGGTTAAAATGACTGCGTCTTGGAGTTTAGACTTCAGAGGTTATGCTCTAATTTAAAAAGAAATGAAAGTGGTTTGATAGGAAAGCAACAACAGACAGAAGGAGGATCTAAAGTTAGGTAGGTAATTGAGATGGTGTTTTGTAAGATCCTGTGGTGTGGCATCACCCCAGCATAAATCCATTCAGACCTTCCATGAAGGAAAAGCGTGCCCTCTCTCACCAAACGGAGCATTCTGAATGGAGCATTCTGGTGAGGGTCTGTTTAACTTGAATTTATGTATAGCGAGATGTCAGATGGGGCCGTACTCGCACGCAGCTCATTGAGTGTTTATAGGTGCAGTCGGTCAGGCCACCTGGGTGCCACAGGATATTTGGCTAAATGAGTGCAAATGAATGATGTCTGACCTCTGTAATTTCCCACGGTTCAGTTGAAGCTGCATGGCTAGAGGCGCTGAAACAAACGCACACATGCGCACACACGCTCCTTACCTCATCCGTTTGGTTAATCATTTCAGCGCTGACTGTAAGTTTGGAAGGATGAGCAATTCTCAGCGATGTCCAGTTAGTCCTTTCTCCTCCGGTCTGATGTAATTGGATCAAAAGGTCTGATGAAGCCCGGCAGTGAAGCACAGGCAGGTAATGTCATTAGGAATGATGCAGATCGATTCGGAGCTCTGCTTTTAAAGGTCAGGATATGCTTATGGAAGCAATCTAATGAGACTTTGCTGAATTTCTAGAGCGACCATTGGTCGGTTTGCCCCTCAGCAGCTCACATGGTCTTCGTTGTTTAGGATGTTAAACTGATTTAGAAAGATTTTATATCACATTTTTACATGTCTTTCGTGTTGTGTTTCAGTAAAAGTAACTGAATTAACTAAGGCTTATTATTGAATACATATTTCCTGATTTGATGTTGATTCAATCTTTGAGTATATTTTATTTATAATGTCCATTTTACTTGACATTCTCTCTCAGCTAATGCTGTAAATTATGTAGGGAGACGTTTTCAACGTGTTCAGTTGGTCTTTTTGAAATATTCATGAAAATAATTGACTCATAACAAGGATTTTATGGGGGAAATTAGACTACTCTGGTCGCACTTTGTTTTTGATTCACTAAAAAGAACTGTTCATTAGAGTAATTCGTTTGTGATTCTGACTACACTGGTCGTGTTATATATTTGTTTTTGCATCCAGCCTGCAAGGAGAACTCAATGTAAAGTCATTACTTGACATTGTTTTGTGATTACATGGCCTTTTTATTGCATGATCACTATCAATATAGATCGCAAACTCACATTCACAGCTTGGATAAAATGGTTTTTTTTTTGTCGGACTGGTGGCACTAACTGTTCAGCAGGATGCAATGACACCAGTGCTGTACAAATACATTTTTATGCAGCCCCTTAATATAGACATAGATCGAAAGATTCAGCTTTGGATTTTATGAATTAATATCAGGTTCATTCAAATTAAGATCTGTATTTTGTACCCAGTTTTGAATTAAAATGGATATTGTTCATCAAATGCGTTAGAATATGCTATAGTTCGTAAAATTTACTAGAGCTGAACACTGAAATATACTCAAACATGTTTATCAAGACAATCATAGCTGAAAATCACAATGCTTGGTAAATGAATGCTGACACTAGATTCCATGCATTCCATGCAGAGGTTAGCTGTTGCTAAATAGTTTTCTTCAAAGAAGTGGGTTACATATTATGTGAAACTATCATTTGACACCTTTGTGGTGAATTAGTTTTTTTTTTCCTTTTCCAGGAAGAACAGATAACGTCTTCGAAGGACACCAGAAGGTTACTAAGTAAGATTTTTTTTCTCTTATATAAAATTGCACATTTTAGAGCTCTAATGGTCAATGATATCATTATGGACCATATGATCTGTCATGTTTTTGAGCCTTGAAAAATTGGACAAAACCTCAGTTAAAAAGCAGAACATTCAATGTAAAGTCCAGCCATTTTCACATTCACATTCTTTTTATAATGTGAGCCACGTGTATTCATGGGCAAATGAAGTATGAAATATTACAGTGATAGTGTTTATTAGGGAGTATGGCACTGTTGAGAGGGGCCTTTATGGCTGGAATCAAGCTTGGAGCTGAAAATCTGGCAGGTTTTAAATGGTAAATAATTCCCTCGGCTTGAAGGTTTGTGCCAGGTTCTTCAGTGCCAGCAGGGATCAGGATACAGTCCTTCAGGTCTCACATGCGCGCACAGCACACATTCTCACCATCCTGTTACACATACAAAACATTCCATATTTAGGCTATTGCCTATGTTTTAGGTGGCGTTTTTGAGCATCTCGCATCAGTAAATTTTAATGTGTCAAATAAACACTGAGGCGGTAAACAGTTTGCTATTAAAATACACTTGTAAATGAAAAGCCCCCAGAAAGATTATGATATAATACATAATTGTCTGTGTTGTTGGCTGTGGTGTTGGCTATGAAATCATTGTTTGTTGGCTCAGATTACATTTGTTTAGGCAGGGAGGTAAGATACAGCTGATGACAGTCAGTCATTATGATGTGTCCACTCTGATGTCTAGGCCATTGATGGGTGACACTAGAGGACGGTGTGTGTAAGGACCTTCAGCCCTGAACTCTGATCAAGAGCACACACATTCATACCACCAAAATGAGTAAGTCCTCATGTTCCCCTCCGTATGTCAAGTGTCTTCAACATGTCTTCAATTGTAGTTTGATCTCAAACATTTTTATGAAAAAATTAAATTATACAATATTAGGTTAATTTCTACCAAAGCTTAGCTAGATGTTTAATTGTCTCTCAGTCATTAAAATGTACACTAGCATTCAAAAACGGTTTTCTATTTTAATTTTTAAAATTACAGATGAAAAAGTGGGACTAAGAAATGGCAGACAAGCTGCTGTTGAGCTGGAAGCAACTTTGATGCCTGGAATTAAAAGGATGTTTAGAGATTCTTTTTTTCAAGAGAGAAAAAGTGAAACATGGAGACAGACTGGTTTATGTTCTCACTGGTCACATGAACGCACAGATTCCAACAGTTGAGTGGTTGAGTCTGTTGCTTGGGTTGATCTGCCATGTTCCCAGTATTGGTGGGTAGACGAGGCTTCTCTGTTTCTCTCCCTCTCTGGAGATGTGTGAAGTCCGTCCAAACAACACACTGCGAATATTTTCCCTCCGTGAGTGAGCTTAGCCAAGACACATCTCGTCCTTACATCAAACATGAGAGCAGAGTTTGCGAAAACACGGTCATCTCCCTCTCACAAGTTTCACTGCGTTGACGCAGGTCTAGTTGTCTGACTGTGAGTGTGTTTATTCATGAAAGAGAGCAGAACATCCTCTCAGTTCCTCTGCACCTGTGCTGTAACTGTATAGCAAGTTTATAGTTTCCGCAACATAATCTCTGTTTAGTTTCAAATAAAGTAATAAGCCACATTCATTACAATGATTAACCACAATTAAGGTTTGGCAGCAGAGAGGGTGCACAAATAATGTTAAAATTAATATATTGAATTAACTAAGTTGTTTAGAATAAAAGTATCTACTGAATTAATAAATAGAAATTATTAAAATGTAATATTTATTATCAAAATAATTCTTTAAAGCCATACAGAGTTGTTCATTAGCCTGTTCTGGCCAATATCTGCCAGCTATAACTTATACAGGAAGAGACTGTTTGACCGACATATAAATGACCAACTATAGATTGTTTAGTTTTTTTACATTTTTATTTGAAATCGATTATACAGCAAAAATAAATGTAAGTAATGCAACGGTAGTCTCCTCGAAAAAGTGTGAAAAAAATAGTGAATAAATACTGATTATATGCAAGGATGCACAATGTATCCATATCAGATCAGTTATTTATTTCATATCAGTCTAATATTAGGGATTTTTAAAATCTGTATTGACTAATATTGGATATTTAATTGTTCATGATCATTTCCCCTGTTTTTACAGTTAGATAAAATGTGCCATCATCTAACACTGACTTAATCTAATAAATTAATAATTTGATAAAACTGCAAAATGTAGACCTCAAAATAAATATCTACTTTTCGTACTGTACAAAATAATATTATGTTGCTTAAATTAGACATGAAAAAAGTTTAGAATGTTAATATTGGGCATTTATTGGTCAGCAGCCGTAACATCTCAGTCTTTCTCCCCAGATGAGAGACAGGCTCTCCATTCAATTATGAAGGATCTGGTGGCCCTGCAGATGACCAGGCGCCAGCCGGCATCAACTTATGACACGGCAAAACCTAAACCTGTCAGCACTGCCAGCTCTTCCAAACGAATGGTGATACACTTACTTAAAGGAGAACATACCTTGTGACTCCTGTATGACCCTGTCGAGGCCTAACCGCTGTTTCTTTTTCATCAGGAGGATGTCAGGATTAAGTTTGAGTTCTGTGGTGAAAGAAGGTGAATTTGAGTTTCTTTCTACTGGAATGTGAATGTATGTGTGTGTGTGTGTGTGTGTGTGTGTGTGTTAAAGTAATGTTCAAATAGTAATGCAAACACACATACAACAACATGTACACCAGACATTTTGAGTTTGTAGCATTTACAAACAGATACACAGGCGTCCAGTCTCTCAGCTCTCAGACTGGTATCACAGTGGAAAGGGAAAGGACTGTGGTTAGTCTGTGGATGCCAGGACAGACCACAGCTATGCTAGGTGTGCTTGCAGGAATGTGTGCACTCTGCAGATCCGACTGTGTGTTTGACTTGACTTACTGGCTCAGATTACACATCTAAAGAAATCTCAGCTTCCTGTTTAATGTCCCCCCCTCTGTGTGCGTGCCGTGTGTATGTTTATATATGTTTGTGTAGGATTCTGATGTTTGGGCGGCCTGTGCAGTTTGAGGAAGTCCAGCAGAAAGTCAAAACATTCTTCGGTCAGCAGTTAGACCTGCATTATATGAATAATGAGGTATTGATTCACATTCAAATGCACTCACTGACACTCACTTATGTCTGATCGCTGCAGTCTTACCAGAAATACTCAAGACTTTAATTTCCACTATTTTAGTACCATTTGTGACCTTGGAGCACAAAACCAGTCTCAAGTCGCTGGGGTATATTGTAGCAATAGCCAAAAATACATTGTTTGGGTCAAAATTATCGATTTTTCTTTTATGCCAAAAATCATTAGGATATTAAGTAAATATCATGTTCCATGAAGATATTTTGTAAATTTCCTACTGTAAATATATGAAAACTTAATTTTTGATTAGTAATATGCATTGCTAAGGACTTAATTTGGACAACTTTAAAGGCGATTTTCTCAATATTTAGATTTTTTTTGCACCCTCAGATTACAGATTTTCAAATAGTTGTATCTCGGCCAAATATTGTCCTGTCTTAACAAACAATACATCAATGGAAAGCTTATTTGTTCAGCTTTCAGATGATGTATAAATCTCAATTTCCAAAAAATATGACTGGTTTTGTAGTCAAGGGTCACATTTTGCTGAACTCCTCACTTTATAAACTTCAAAGTTCAATTCAATTCAAGTTTATTTGTACAGCGCTTTTCACGATACAAATCATTGCAAAGCAACTTTACAGCAAATTAAGTTTCTACAATATTTAGTGGTAGCTTATCAGTGGTGACTGTCAGTCAATGTACATATGGCAGAAATGTACGGAAAGTGCACAAAGGTTAACAATGATGCAAAAATTATAAGCTTAATTTAAAAAATGTTAGTAGCATTTTATTTTAGAGTCCTGTTCCACATATACATACAATGTACTTGTTATAGTATTTACAATAACTGTAATAACTAGGTACTAACCCTGAACCTACCCCTAAACCTAACCGTAACCTATGTAGTTGCCTTATATTGCCCATTACTTTCTTAGGTAAGTACAGTGTAAGTACAGGTAAGTGCACATACTGTAAAATAAAGTGCAACCCATTTTTAAACAGTAAAATATGTAATAATTAAAAAAAATTAATTAGCAACCTTTAAGTAATAATACTGATGTATGGTTCACAAACTTTAAGTACACGAAACTTACTTCACTTTAAGATGGAAAATAATAAGCTGTATTTATCTTTTAATTTTGCATCATTTTTGTAATAAATTATATTTTAGTAAATAAAATAAAATTTGCAAATAATTATAACAATATAAATTAGCAATAATTTAGTAATAATACTGATGTACACAAAACTTGCTTCACTTTAAGATGGACATCACTGAATGCAGTTCAGTAAGGGGCCGTTCACACAGAATCTGTCTTTGCGTCTAAAAACGTGAGACGCAGCGCTCAGGAATGTTTTTTTTAAAAACACAGTGCAAAACGCATCGTTCTTGAGACTTGATATCACCATATATATTCAGTGGCAGAGACATTTCTCTCGAGGCTCTTTTTTAAGAAACAGTTTGTGTTAATCACTTGAAAAAATATGATATAATTCAGGGCATCCGGACACAGCAACTATGAGTGCGTCCTCCGCCATGTTGCCGTCAAATAAAACAGTTGCCATGTCAACTTGCTACTGTAAACAAAAGCTTGCAACGATTGCCCCGCCTCTGCTGTCTTCTGATTGGTTCACTTTTTTTGGAACTGACACACAAGACGTGAGCGCAACGGTCATGTATGTCCGTCTAGTGCTTTTACATAGAAAAACAGTGGAAAAGAAAAACGTGTTTTCTGTGATCAGCCCCTAAGTGCGTCAGTTGTTGATTCAGTAACTCATTTAGTGTTATTCATTGAAGGATTCATCAGACTCATTCAAACCAGTAACTCCTGAGTTTATAAGCCTTGAATGATTCATTAAAAGAACCTGCATATACAAGCCTGTTGGGTGTGAATCAGACTACACTGCAATGGTTGAGCAATAAACACAGATGATAACACAGATCACTTGTTGTATTCCTCATTTGTAAGTTGCTTTGGATAAAAGGATCTACTAATTTAATAAATGTTAATGTATAAAAAGTTAATAAGATTTTTTAAAAGTGCCAGAAGACCGATTTATTTCTTTGTGTAATTAAGGGATACAAATTCTGAGTGACAGCTCTACTTAATGTGTTTGTTAAGTGTGTTTGTGTTTGTGCACACAGCTGTCCATCCCCCTGCGCAATCAGGACGATTTGGATAAAGCCATTGATCTGTTGGACCGCAGCTCAAACATGAAGAGCATCAAGATCATGCTGCTGACACAGGAACAAAGCAATGTGAGACTTACAAATTAATATTTTATGTCAACGCGAACCAGTTAAATTTGGAAAGTACACTAAGAATCTCTTTTTTTAATATGCAGTGCAAATTCTAATAACTCTGCTCACTAGAATCAGGTTTAAATGCTAAAACTGTTGTGTGTCAGTTAGTACACAGGAGCAGAAATGTATTGTCATTATAATGTGATGTTTCTACACATAAAATGATTTCTAGATGCTTATGTGTGTGTGTGTGTGTGTGTGTGTGTGTGTGTTTGTGTATGCAGGCCTCTTCTCCATCTCATCACACAATGTGTAAGCAGGTTCGCATTAAAACCTCTCAGTCCACCGGTGATGTCAGTACTGCCTACCAATCCTCTGAATCAAGAGGACGCCACCACTCCACCAGTGAGTTTACAAACACACACACATGCACATGCACACACTGCTGCGCTTAATCAAAAACCCCTCTGCATTTCTTATCAATCTTCTTGTCCTGGTCTTTTTCTCTCTCATACTCTTTCATTTTCTCTCTCTCCCTCTGTTGTTTCTCTGACTTCCTCTGTGAGCAGTGGGTCCTCTTCCTTTTCCTGTCCACCATCACTGGCTGCTCTACAATGGCTTGCTGGCTCCCAGCCAATCAAATTGCGAGACACTATTAGCATGGTGGGCCAATAGCCTGTTGTAGAGAGTGCGTATTTTAGGGGGGAGGGGAGGTCGCTACAGCTTGACAGGGCATCTGGAGAAAAGCGTGAACTCTTTGAGCTTTGTGACTGGAGGAAAAAGACGTTATATTTATGTTATTACGTTATATATATGTTTATATTTTGCTTCAGTCTCATGATTCAGCTGTTCTGCTTTTAGATTATGCTCTTGTCACAGTGTAACACACTGCATGGGACTCTTTATTAATGTGTATTGCGAATGCAGTGTTTTTCTTTGAGCTCAACATAATCTATATAAATGCAGATGGAATCGTAAAATCCAGTCATAAAAATGTGTATATAAAAAAATCATAAATCCAGAAACCCTATTATTGTAAAAATGTTAATAGATTATTAAATTGTTAAAGTGTTTTTAATTAAATTGATTAGGCATGCTTTTTGATTATTAAATTTAAATTAAACCGTTTAAACAGAATCCAGAAAATTTCAAACAGAAACCACTGAATTTGGATAAAAAATGAAATATACAATTATATATATATATATATATATATATATATATATATATATATATATATATATATATATATATATTATATAGAGAAAA